GTGCCCGCGCCACGCGCCGCTATAGTGCCGGGCGCGCGCCCACGTGCCGTGCGCGGCGGCGGCGGGCTGGCGGCTGGCCGAGGCCGAGCTGCGCGCGCTGTGCCCGCGCCACGCGCCGCTATAGTGCCGGGCCGTGCGCGCCGGCCGGTCCGCCGGGACGGGTCCGTGGTGAGTCGGTACACCGGCCCGTTCGATATTAAATTGGAAATCTCCCTTCGTTTGTAATTACTCCGAGACGTACTGGTTGCGACGTTTTATATTTCGTTTTAGTGTACGTGTACTCATCATGGACTATCTGTTGTATACAACTCCCGATTGTTTACATGGTCATGTAACAATGCAGTGATATTTTAAAGTAATAAATGGACCTTGGATGTAATAAGTATATTTTTTATGTAAAAAAATATATAAATAATAAATAAATAAACAACTGTTTAGTTGCCATTATAGTATCAAAAACTAGTCTAAATAAATAGTGTCTTGTGATTTAAATAAAAAATATATTAAAATCGTTTTGGGGTCTATGAAAATTTACATTTTTAGCTTGGTAATGGAGTAATGTGTATGTTTGTGGATACTGCATTGTTATCGATGGATTATAAATAATTACACAATGTGTGTAGCGCTCTTATACTTAATGGTTATTTATACCGAAAACTTTACGCTTACATAATTTAAACGTGATACTTCAAATGTTTCGTGGTAACCAAGTTATAATAGAACCCCGCCGCGCACGTAGACCGCGGGGCATGTTGATATTTTCTTACATATGTATATACTGATAGTGGTCGTCTCGCCGATACTGCCAACAGGAACAATAATGCAAGCAAATTATATGTTAAATAGATACAGAAGTATATGTAGTATAATTTTACTGAGTTAACAGTTGGACAGTAATTGTTATGGAACGTTTGAAGTGTGAACGTATAAGGGTACCATAAGGCGCTGTCTTCGTTTGCCAGACAGTGAGCACGCCAGCTTCGTACGACGTTGGCTACGTACTTTAATTCCAGTGAATAGAAAAATAGACTTTATTTAGAAAATGTTAAGGTACAAATTTATAGTAGGGAGAATCAGGCCAGTTTAGTGTTTTTAAAAATTTATTCGGACAATTGACGCATGGACTCGAACGAACAATGAACAACATCCAAAGCCTTGAAATGTAAATGGTGTATGATTTTTTTTATCACTTATGGCAAATGATTACTTTATTAAGTATGTAATTGTTATAAATTATATTTATCATGACATTATAAGCAAATTGAAATACAACATGTTTAAAATGACAGTTGGACTATTATTTATTGTGTATTTTGTTCCGTTTGCTTTGGAATTAAAGGAATTTGCCTTAAACTTTTAACCACTACGGTCGGCTATTAGACGACAAATAAAAAGTACTTAATAAAATGACGGTGGTGTATCGGCTATGGCCAACAGTGGCAGATTGGTCCAGTTTTTGTTTGTAGTCTGTAGCCGACTGTTTCGGTTAAACGAATAATTACAGATTGTCTAACCATTTTCACACTTTGAGTACTTATCATTTTAATGACAGCATTGCTAAATGATAACTTTTATAATAGTAGGGGAGCCTACAATGCTAAATACAATTTACCTACTACAATTTGAAGATTTGGTGATACAACGAAAAAACATATTATTTGACGTCACTTTCCACCAGTGGAGGGGTTACAATTCTTTATAAAATCAAACGTACATTTTGTTTTAATACTCGAGCGTGACAGATAATGCTGACAATGAAAGGTTGTATCGAGATCCCTTCAGAACCCTCGAACCACCTGACATGCGAACTTAATAAGCTATCTTATTCCAATACCTTTGGACCTAAGGTTTTTCAAAAATCTAGATCAATCTAGTTATTAAGTGTTGGTCTTAAATTATGCTCAAATCCGAAGATGATTAAAATGCAATTCGTTTGACATATTATTATTAATGTAGTCCAAAAATACATGAGTAAATTTAGTCTTATTTTATTTAAATCGCCTCCTTTGTCTAGATCACGAATTTATTTTTGTTTTCAGCCATGATCGTCCCACTGCAAAACACTCCTCCTTCAACTCCTCTCTATGTAAAGCTTTTTGTGGGCAATCCTTGTCATAGATGTCCAGTTCGTCCCGCCACCGCTTTTTGCTCCTGCCAGGACGTCCATTGACGTTGAGCGGGCTCCACTCAATAGTGTTTTGCCCACCGGTCGTCTGACATGCGGCAGAGATGACCAGATCAGGTACACGGCGGGTATATTTAAGAAGGCTAGGTATTCCCCATAATATTACTATGCTACTGTAACGCCTTCAAATCTTCAAGAAACGAGCGTGTTTCATTTTTAAAAGGCCGGCAACGCACCTGTGACTCCTCTGGTGTTGCGGGTGTCCATGGGCGGCGCTGATCGCTTACCATCAGGTAATTCGTCTGCTCGTTTGCCTCCTTTTCCATAAAAAAAAACGCGCTCGAGGAACTACCAAAATTGTATAATGGGCTCCCCTACTAGTTATAAAGCAAGCTACTTTTTTGACGGTAATGTCGACAACATAGGGTGTTGTAAAAACAACTATTGTGGCGTAGAAGCCTTTGTCTGCGAATATGTCCGTAAATTATTGAATCAATTGAACACACTTCAAATTTATTGTAAAATATTGGCGCCCTCTATGTATTACAGATAAAAAAAAGAATATTTACTTGAATGTGTTGCTTTTTATTTCATTGACAGCAATTACTTAATCTAGTAAATGTAATAGGTAAGGTCTTTAGATCATATTACTTATCTAGTACCATTCATCGGAACTATGTATTGCATACGCGGTCAATAAATTCGTAAAAAAACTTAAATAGTCTGGCAAACGAAAGAAGAGACTGAAAAAGCCCGGCAAATTTAAAAAATATCAGTATAGCAACCCAAATATTAGTATGTCATACCTGGAGTAACCTAATTTGATACTTTATAATAATTTGGTTCGTCTTCACATCTGGTTACTCCAGGTATGACATACTAATTTTTTTTGGGTTGCTATACTGATATTTTCTCTACTTTCGTTTGCCAGACTCTAATTTTAACCCGATCCGGGAATCAACCCGAAATCCCCAGCGGCAATCACATTTGCGATCATTCGACTAAAAAGAATAAGTACACACATTATGATTATGTTTTATTTATTTGTCTCGAAAATAACTCATAATATCTATGAACTATCATTCCGTTTGACACTAAGGGTAGAGTAACAATGTCAATTACAATTCCTATAAAGCTTACTTCCGTAATTATAATCGTTATACACCTATAATTTCTAACTCTCAGATATTATACAACATAATATAATTACAATATGATCTCAATCAATGATATTATATATAACTCTATAAGTAAAAAGGGATACATAGGATATAACCGCTCTACGACCGACAAGTTGACCTCAGTGTCACGTTGCGCCGTCAACGTATTCATGTGGGCGTTGGTGTGCCGTTTTTGAGTATCGAATGTTGTTTATGTAACCTATCTACAGCTTGTTCCTTGTAATATTCATTATCTCAATAAAAAGCGTCTAAAAAAACTACAACATAACATCACGCCTTTTATCCCCGAAGGTTTAGGCAGAGGTGCACACGGAAGTAACACCCACTTTTCACTATTAATGTTATGAGTTCCATGTAATAGGGGGTGAGCCTATTGCCATATACCGGGCACATTTCCAGACTCTTTTTTTAAAACCCATTATTACTTTACCCGACCCGGGAATCGAACCCGAGACCCCTTGCCCGGTAGTCGCACTTGTGAGTTGTGGCGAACGAGGCAGTCAAAGACTAAAAAAACTACTACTAACTAATTACATAATAATTTGGCTGACATGCATTTTACAGTCGTAAAAAGAGCAAGTAGCTACAAGGTCACTATTGCATTTCCAATCAGCTCCGTACGCGATGCTCTCATGTTCTAAATACTCGCTAAGGATTTCTATTTCGTCGTTGACGCGTAGTATACGGAACCCGCCGTACATGCAGGCCGCTAGGACAGTGCATGGCTTGTTTGGATGCCATTTTAATCGCCACACACCGCCGTTGACATCCAACTCTCGCACGCTACATTTTAAACTCCTCGTGTCCCAGAGACGAACTTTTTCATCATAACTGCAATATAAACGAACATCATCACGCTATATGTACCTATGTTATCGGGGCTCCGGCTAGGAACGGGGTGCTTTAGAGTCAGTAAGAGACTTCCTCTCGCCTCACGCATGCCATGACGGGATCAGAAAAATCATTTGATTATTTTATCCTGTTCAAAAGATTGTATAGATTAAGATTATTTAAACACCATTGATAAATGGTGAAGGAAAATATGGTAAGGAAACCTGGGCTTATAATACACTAGCGACCCGCCCCGGCTTTGCACGGGTGCAATATGCATGTATTATACATACAAACCTTCCTTAAGAATCACTCTATCTATTAAAAAAAACCGCATCAAAATCCGTTGCGTAGTTTTAAAGATCTAAGCATACATACGGACATACAGCGAAAGCGACTTTGTTTTATACTATGTATTGATATTTAATAATAAGTTTTCAATTGCCAACCCGCAATGAGCAAGCATGGTGAAGCATAAGCATAACCCGTCGTGTGTCTAAACGGGGATCTACGCGAGACAATATATTTTCGATTGTGTCTCATACTCAAACCTCCTCCGTGTGAGAAGAGGCCTTTGGTCAGTAGTGGTCACTTATAGGCTGTTGAAGTTGATATTATCGTCCCCAAAAAGGCTAATAATTGCCCGCTGCTGAGCAATGGTCTCTTCTCACCTAATGCTGATTGCATTAATGTAATGTATTTTAGTAGTATATGGCATAGGTTCGCTAATACAAACCTGCCAGTCAGTAGCTGATACTCCTCGTCAATATGGCTCCTTATCGAGGTGACGCCAGCCTCGTGCTTCTTGTTCACAATCGTGGATACATCAGGGACTCGAACGTCATAACCCTTGAATACGCAATCATCGCCCCCTACAATAATGGTATGGTTTTATATAACACTATTCAGGTATGTTTTTTATTTTTTCATTATTATCTAAGAGTACAGTACAGTAGAGTACAGTAGTGATTTTTTTTAATTAATTTATATGTCAAAATTGCACAGTAAAACATCGATTTTATTTTACATAATGAATTTAAATTTACTTGAATCAAAACGTTTTAGGTACAACAACGAGGTGATAAAAGGAATTTAGTGAAACTTACAAACCTGAATAAAATACGTCAGAGTTCCAGTAATTAAATGCTGTGATCCAAGCCTCGAAACTATGGCTCTTCCATTTACCTACGACTTTAACACAATTTTCTACTATTCTTAAAATATGAATACAACCTGCAGAATCACTGACTGCCAGATAAGGTTCATCTGAATACTTTTTATTGGTCGACCAATCAACGGAGAGAGCTAACCCATTCTCACAAATCGTGTGCTCTATCCATAACGCCAACTGTAATACTCCGTCTTCGTTGGTCAACTGGTAAAGTTGCAGAGTACCAACGGATGTTACAACGGCAAGTGTCGGGCAGTTTTGTAGCTTGTGGTAGCACCATTTCTGGTCCAATATCCCTGCGGTGTCAATCGAATGAACAGGGGCCAACACTTCAGTGTTCTCGTTTATAACAAATAAATATATTTTGCCTAATCTCGTTTGTTTCGATGCCGTGTTGCCTGCAAAGAAAAAATAGAAACTATCAATTAATCCTGGCATCCAATATTGTAGTTAATTAACTGAATGCTGCATTAATAGAAAAAGGCCAAGTGCATAGCACCCTTCACCGACATACATAGATGACCAGAAGAAGAGACCGGAACTAAAGAAGTATGCAAGTGTGGCACGTTGCATCGTAGATGGCACATTTTTGATTAGATCAAGACATTAATTTATGTATTACTATTTGGGTAGGTACGTATCAATGTGACATGTTACCTTCAGCTGTATTGTCTAACTGGTAAGTTCCGCAGACGAGCACGTCTCGGTATGGTTCTACGGGACACCACTCTACAGAGTCGGCGCTGTATCTCGTATCCCAGCGCCACTTATTCTGCCAAACAGCCATACTCCTGAAACTTTACTCAAAATCTTGAGCAAACATCTCCACCAAAAAAATAATGCCTTTTCATGCGAACTAATACAACCGACAAATTAATACATAGTGGTATAAATAGAATAGTAAGGAAATAAAGGACATCAATAAAAATACGAAAATACTATTTTAAACCCATTTATTGTAATAAAAATATGCCCATACATGAATAATTACTAACATTATAAAGACGAGCAAACTATACCTCCATTACATCCATTCACATGTAGATAGATAATAATATGATAAAATTTGTACTGTGTTGTGGTTCGCAACTTACATATTACATTGGGACATAAACGAAGTATTAATCATACAATATAGGACTGTCCCATAATCACGATTCTTTATAGGGACGACGGCGTGTCATCTGTTTCTGCTATATATGGTTTTTGTAACTTTTAATCAAATAAGTAGGTAACATGCATTACTAGTCAAAACTAAAATATTCAATAACAATGTATTATGTTTAAGCTGAAAGGACCAAATTGTTATTCTCACTATAATCAGCCTCTTTATTATTTAAACACAATTATTGAAATGTTAATATTGAGTAATAGTTGATGCAAACTGCATTACACTATCGTATGCGCATATTTAAAGCAAAGACAAGACCACACGACGTCGTGTTAAAAATCGTAATAAAATGCATAATTAAACATTACATTAATTCTAATTTGTATTGGTATGCTTTGCAACGTATAACAAATATATTTTATATAGAACTAATTGTTTTATCACTGTTTATATCGTATAATTCAGGTAATTATGAAGTTGTAAGGTTCGCTTCATATACCCAGCTTACTCATGTGTAAAACACATTTGTAGTACAGCGAAGATCAAAAGATGTTCCAACTTTATACATCATCATTACTTGTTATAAATATTTTAATGTTTCAACTTATAGGTATACAGACACAAATACGTAATAGTTTTCTATATCCAACGTAATGTAGAAGAATATAACTTTATATGGTTACTGCTGCAATAAGAAATGCGGTGTCATTAGGTTACATCTTTTCGACCATCTCTATACAATCAAATACCACGATATGTAAATATACTCTCATGACATAAACACTAGGAATCCAATAATTTAATGGGGGTATATTAAAATATAACTTTCCGTTTAGACGACTTATAGATCTGCTTATGTTGCCTACAGGGGTATACAGTTAATTACGAATCGTATACTAATTGATTTCATATTGTCGTTATTATTATAATAAGGATGATGACAATAAAATTTAAGTCATATGGACCAGGTGAACCTACAATTCTGTAAATTTTTTAGCAGATTTCAACTTTATTATTTTGATATAAAGTCGAAAATACAACGAAAAAACGAACAGATTAGATAGACCAACTGGCTACTTTTTATGTAAGATGTTTAGAAATATAGTGCACCAAAATATGAACGTCTTTATATTGAACTGGCATGCTAAGCAGCATGCTTTTGTACATTGCCACCATTCCTATTATAGCTAAATTGTTTAAGTCTATTTTCTACAGTAAATAAATATGCATAACATTATATTTTATGTATTAGAATTTAGCGATGTCGAGACAATTCTATATCGTGAACCGAATATATATATAGAACATAATATAAATTGAACTGAATGACAATCATGGAAAATATTAAATTAAAAACACACAAAACTTTGAAGAAATGATCTAAATCAAACAAAAAATTATTCGTTAAAAATATAAAATTATATTCGCATATAACTTTATAAACAAAATCAGTTTAATGACGACTACACCTCAAAATTCAAATTAAGCAAATTAATTTAGACTATAATGTTAAAATATTATATAAAAAATCAAGATAAAATATACAAAAATATCGTTCGAAATGGACTTTAAGGGTTAGATTTACATAACATTTATTTACGTAAGTACATTATTTATTAATGGTAACTTATTTTATAAGAGTTTAAAATCTACTTCGTAAATTCTTCTTACATCTAACTAGTCTAAGAAGTATACTTGACGGCAGTTGGACCGAAAGACCTATAATTTGAACATGGACCAGTACAGACGAGCAAAGAGTTTACTATCCAGAAGTGTATAGTTTAAAATCGGTGGTACTTTTTGAGTATATTTGTTCTAATACCAATTGCTTGAGGACTTTATCTACTGTACATAGACAGTATTTTGTACTGTAACTCTTTGCAATTGCAGTTCATTTTCATCAAAAAATTAACAATTGGACGCCGCCTATACTAAAATATTGAACTATTGTCGTTGAATGGTAGGCACTACAACTAAATATATACAACTTAACATCTATCAAACGATAATGATCATAAATCAATGAGCATGTTTTCTTATAAACTATTCTGAGGTCACAAATACAGTGGACAGAACAATCAGTACATCGTCAAGATCAAGTTCCAGTGTTTGACTGGTGTAACACGTCAACAGTTTCTAGTTTTGTTTCCTTCTGTTCGTCTGACCACTGATAGGCTTGATTTTGGGATATACAAAAATGACTACAAACAACCAAGCCATTTGCCATTAATATCAACATAATATCCTCAAAAAATTAATAGTAACCAGTTATTTCATTTCTACTACATGTAATAGTCAAATATCAGTTAATGTTCTAGATTTGTAACTTTGGGACGTGGCGCCACTGAATATTTATGGCAAAGATACTTGACATAACTTGAGCAGTGTAATAAAAATAAAATGTTCTATGGACAGTAACAGACAACAATTTGTCATTATGCCAACCATATCACAGGCGTCATCAATACATATTAGCTATACTTTAATTCTAACTCAGTGGCGCCACCCTTCCAGTATATTAATAAAAAGTACACCAAAGTTGTGCCACACCACAGCTTAAATATACGACAATGATTAAACATTTAAAATATTAATATTTTGTTTGTGTATGAGGTAGATGTTCACAATAAATGTTGCGATCACAGCCTGTTTTAATTCAGGACATATTAACTGTTCATTAACCATTCTGACGCGCTAGAACTAACATAGAATGGTTTGAAGAGGCAGCTGCGATTTCTGGGAAATTTTAGACATTCCCATTACCTGTGCAGCCTGCGTTCAGGCCTACAACAGACCAACTACGTCTCCGAACCATTGGACTGATAACTAGTGTTCTCAACTGCCAAAATTACAATTACCACTTATCACTATGAAATCAAATTGTTTTAAATAAAATTTTAGCTATATTTGTGTGCTGTAGTCATGCATGACAACCTGAAGTAAAGAAGTCGCAATTGTGTAAGCAAAACAAGAAATGTAGGTGTTGCTTAGTACCCCTATATCTTACTTCACTTTGCATGCATGACACATAAACATGCAGCCAGATTACCGGATTGTTCTTTGGAGCTTGCAATGGCCTTCGATACTCAAAACACAAACAGTGTGATATAGCTTAACTATATCATTATATTTCCTATTGCAAGCCTGTAGGAAGACTTCCAAGAAAATATGCAGTAAATATAAAGTTATATATGTGATTATGGTTCCCTATATATTGTACAAATAAATAAAATAGGAAGATAATATTTCTCAAAGAACATTTTAAACATTGTGTTATTATTGGAAAATACTTAAGATTTTAAAGATATACAGAGAATTGTATTGTAAAGATACAGAATCATCTTATAAATCAAAATGAATGTAGTTTTTTTTGGCAGTACAAATATGTTGCTGTAACAGCAATTCTATTATAAAAAGTACCTAAGGCCATTACAAAAAAATCTTCATATATAATTTTACATAATGAATTCACAATATTGTTGGGTATCACAAAATATTAACTAAATTCTCTTAAATTTATGTCTAAGTACCCTGAATTATATTTAACTCTAATAAACTAGATGTTTAAAATATTCTGCTGAATTTAATACTTTTGTGAAATCCAGTAGCTAATGTAAATTAATGAAATTATATTTTCTAATGAATAAGAAACGACAAATGACACCTTATAGGAAAATTGCTTAAAAGCCACACACTGGGCGAACTTTCAATATTGCTTTTATCACAATCATAAAGAAAACAATTGTTGTATTATTGCAATTTTCACTTCAGATTTATAAATAGACAAATTGACTGCTAAATAAAAAGTTTCAAACTCAGCAGTGTCCCTAAACATGTTGAAAATGTCATGAATCTTTCACAATTTAAATCAATAACAAAATCTTTACTTGTCGGTTACCATCGCAATATGGTTTACCATTTTGTATCAAATATTCAATATCATAATAACACATTGAAATAGTTTGCATTTACTAATGTTATGAAATAGTTACCTAATGTCAAATGAACAATCCAATTTTAATTACTATTTTACCAGTTTCCTCTTCATTAAAATAAATATTAATTACTTTATTGTTATAATTAACTGCTGTTGTAAATATTCCAAACATTGGCCTCTAGTCAAATAAAATTAATATCAAATAATAACATTCAAATTGTGATTAAAACAGTGACTTCATGAGACATGCTTGAACTTCACATTGAAGCGTAGCTTCATGTTACACTCCATATATGCTGTATAACATGCATATGTAAATACAATGCTATCATTAATTTAAAGTGCTTTCAAACCTTTTGTTCTTTGTGTAATTCTAGTTTGTTTAGTTAAAAATATCATCAATTATCAGGTTCTACCATAACACAATCAACAATACGAAACATGTTTTACAATCTTTCTATTATCATATCATGCCTAACAAAGATTCAAGGTACACTAAAATTGACTGTGAAAATTGTTTCATAAACAAGCTATTGCCTTGCAGATCTCTCAGTTTCAATAAGACATTCCCTCACAAGGATTCTGGCATGAATAATCCCACGTTTAAGACGTTCAGCAGAGCTCCGGCTACCTGAGTAGCTTGGACGTACTTCCTTACCCATCTCCTCGATGACGGCGAGTAATTGAGCGTATTTCGACATGCCGTTGTCCTTATCCTTGCCGATGGAAGACGGAGAAGTCGCAGGCACGGTTGATATTGTTGCTTGACTGTTACTGCTGTGGCTCAGCTCTTTGTGCATGTTCTTGCCGCTCATGGGGATGGCCGTAACGGTAACGTCACTTAATTTCGATTCTACAGCCTGAATATCCATTGCTTCCATCGTGCACTGAAAAAGTACGGATGACTGTAGCAAAACAAAGGAAATCGAAATTATACATAAATGAAACGCAACTTACCTATCCTAAATCTAATATATATACATTTTCACGAGCAAAAACACGTTTAAACACAGACCGCGGGTGATAAGTGATAAATTCTACAATAAATTATGTGCTATGTAGGACATACCTAATCCGATCAACTTCAGGCTCTCCAAGAAAACAGACGTAATTAGCGTATAAATATATTTTTTTTTAGCGGTTCTACTTAAATATTGAGGAATGTACTTCTTTTTATTAATGCAAATGATTTTCACCAACGAAACACGTAATAAATGATTAAATTGTAAATAACAAACAAATCTACAAATCAGTTACCACATTGACAATATGGGTATATTTTTTTATGGAAGGACTTAGCTGTCAAAGGCGTTTACATTTCATTCAGCCTAAGAAATATAATATTTTACATGTTTTTAATTTACAACAAAAAAAATATATTTGAATATGTGTGATGTTTAGAAATATAATTAGGTACATAGTTATTATTTTTTAATTTAGAAATAAATATGAAGCTACGTTTCATTGTACGCAATCACTGACAAGTTCATTTTACACGATTTCCTTATTTCTGTCACTTTTTTCGTAAATCGTATCGTATCAGACAGAATTTTAGAATAAAATTGTCAACTCTGCTCGGCTGCGGCTGGGTCTGATATTTTAATTATTTCATTTCAGTTGCAAAAACCTATTTATAAGTGGACATAACAAAATACAAATCAGTATTAAGTTTTAAAGCTTATATAAAATGTCTTATGCACATCATAAACCAATAATGTGCAGTTTTAAATTGATTAAATTAATGTAAATAATAAAACAATAAGAGGTCGGTGCAAAGTGATTTCTCCGCCCACTGCGACCATTATGCGATTAGGGAGTCGGGAATTGAGAGTAAAGTGGATGCAGCGGGATATCTGAAAATGTCTGGGGACGGCGAGCGGGCGTCGCGCCCGAACTCGCTGGTTCTGGAAGCGCCGTCGCCGGAGCGCGAGCCGCTGCACTTCGATGTGCAGCTGGTGGGCGCTCCACCCGAGGTCGAGCAACTTGTCAACAATATCAAGCAAGTCGCCGAAGACTTCCTTTATCACTGGAAAACTTTCCCCATTGGTGAGAACTTTTTTGTCATTGTGTGTGTGTGAATTGGAAACTACAGAGAAATGAAATATTAAAGGTTTTATGCTTAAAAATTACATTAAGAGTAAATGAGGAAATTGCTGCAATTTTATTTATTCTTTGTTTGTATATTTTTTGTGTCAATATAATTATTTTTTTTATAGTAAGTACTGTTAATATTTTATTTAAAACCTAATTACTTGATTCTTAATTTATTTTTCTAAATGGATTTTCTTCAAACTGAGCACTTCTTTTTGAATACCTTATAATAATGTGAGCCAGGAGACATCTTTACAATCAATCACCACTCTGTGACATTCATCTTTAATTTATAATGGCCCATAAGTATGTTCAATTTAAACTGTCAAACACCAAGCGGACAACGGTGACCGCAACCTATTGTTCTATAATTGTGTCTATAATGACGGTACTCGACGAGTTAAAATATTTAGATGGTGAAGTTGTTGCCAATGTTTATTGACCCCAAAACTACTGTAATTCTAAAGATACAGTTTCCATTCCAAGTCATTATCGAATAGTTCAGTGCAATTATTGATCATACCGTCTGACTAAAAATGTTATTTGCTTTTTAGCGATCAGATTTAGAGATTCAGTATCCTTCTGTAATTTTCTTTTATTACAATGCTGAGCACTTTAATGTTTGAGATAAAAGCATGTTCTCATTTATATAGGGGTTGTTATGATGTTACAATGAGCTTCCATAATTTATTTATGTAGGTATTAGAGTTTACAAATATTGTTTCTATAAAATGAGTCATCCATCAGCTGTGTGATAACAGCAGAGTAACACACCTATGTCTACTCTTCCCGTGGGTGTCATGATTCATCACATGAGTTGACTAAAGAGGCCAAAATCATCCAATGACTTCTCCTGCCTTGAGTGAGGCGAGACAGTGTCAGAATCTTATTGACTAAAAACCACCCAGTCCCTACTCCTTTTTTGAGGCAGAGCCCCAGTAAATTGTCGCTCCCTATTTTTTAACAGTTGCAGCATACAATACAAGAAGGAATCAAGGATATTGATTGTGCCCAGACATTACATCTACCAGAGACATCGTTGACTGCATAAGTGCATACTGTATAAAAACATGAATAGAATGTAGCATTATGTGGAATGTTAATTATTATTATAACGAGAGGTGTGTCCGTGTGGGTAGATTAATACTAACATAAAGTATGGTTTGCAGTGCTTCCACCATCTCGATTCACGGGTCCGGGTAACAGGCCGTCGGACATAATTATAGCGCCCCCGTGCGACGAGATTGACGCAGCCGCCTTAGATGCGGGCATCGAACCTCAGCCGCTGTCTCCGAAGCAACTTCACTCGATTAGAGAGAAGGGGTAAGTCCTGCTTATAGCCGAGGTGTGTCTACCAGCTTAGTGCCTATGATAGTTTGCTAAGGGTAAATGAGGTATAAGTGCACATAATATGTATATTAGTGCGCACATTAATGTATATGTAATGTAGGTATGTTCACACCACCCATATTATGCCGTTATTTAATTTCACATTGTATCGGTGGAAATTCTGATGACTTTTTCCTGTGCTATAAAAGTATAAGTTTGAATATTCGAAATTCGTAACCCGACGACGAGACCACTTGCCCCAATAGACACTTCCAACCATTCGATCAACGTCTTTATTTTTAAATTAAGATCATTTTAATAAAATAACACTCATTGCACATGAAGATGTGATTTCTTTTAGTCGCTTTCATTCGACACACTTTATCTGTGGTAATTATTTAGGCTATGGTACAATGAAGCTGACATTCCGACACGATTCGCGATACACTGAACATCATACATGTGGAAATTGTGGAATGACTTAAACTGTGAAATAATTGCAAAGTCGGACAACTTTATACCTCTAGTTTACTAGCTTCAGCCAGCGGCTTCGCCTGCGTAAAGTATAAATTACCCCATGTGTACCCACCCCATAATAAATACCTCTGTACCAGACATCTAAATGTGTCCAGTACTTTTTACTTATACAAACTAAGGATTAGTGGGATAGAATTAACAATACAACTTATATTGATACTTTGGTAACGTGTTCTAGTGGCGCCAGTGATATTTTAAACTTAAAAACAGAATGAAATAAATATTTAACATGGCTCTGATACTCTTCTTGTGGCGTATACCAGTAGATTTTGGCATCCGTACTCTTTTTATTCTTTACTAGCTTTTACCCGCGGCTTCGCTTGCGTCACAAAAGGATAAAAAGTAGTCTTTGTGACATATACACACAGCGCCATCTATACCAATGATTTAGTTTTTCCTCGAGAATATCAAATTTTTCCGGAATAAAAAGTACCCTATTATTTAATCCAGACTTCTAACTTCACGTCTGCAAAAATTCAAAGCAATTTAGTAGTTACGGCGTGAAAGCAGAACAAACAAACTCAGTTTCCGATTTATAATATTAGTAAGGATTAAAAAGAATTTGATACAATATTGCTGATTTAGTTTAGCCTTTCTCGAGATTTGAGAAACAAAACATGAATTTATATTTAGACGGATTATAATGTGGGGTAACATTTGGTTAAGTGACGAGCCGAGAGAAACAAAAGAAAGAGTAGAGTAATCAGTCTGGTGGGATACAAACGACACACTTGCCCCCAAGCGCACTGTATGCCACGCTCAAATGATTGAGTGAAAACATTAATTGAGCTTGACTATAGCAAAGGGCGGGCAGAGATCCAATCAAGTCAAGTCAGATGTAATATGCTACTACTGCTAACAGTGGTTAAACTTCCGGCCCACTTATTTTAATTTCAATAAATCAGTGTCTTTAGTCTACCTTGTTAGTTGAATATCATACCTCGCGTTTATTTTGGTGAAATCTAGTCAAGTACCTTTTTGAGTGTTAATTTATTTTATGGATTATCAGATTTAGATTCCTCAATCCCAGAATAATCAGATATGCTTATTACAGACCTATTAAAATGTTACTAGAGTAGTAGTTCAGTGTTGCCTACACCTTCAGGTTACTTCGAATAGGTACTCAAGTATTTTCATCTAAAATTTGCTTGGCGTCCTGAAAAACTTTGTACCTCCCGTATTGACATGGAGATAGATTCAACAAAACGAAAGTCGTGAAAATCTGACCATTCAGAACTGCTATAGAGTTATAAAGAAACCCGGCGAAATGCCTCTATCTATACTTTATTGAGATTGGCTGCAAGTCGTTAGCGATTCATCACTGCACTGCTCCCAGTTGTCATGAATGGTCCACACATGCGTCAGAACGTTGTAATAGTAAACTGTGCATCATATTTATTTGCCTATACCGAACGTAAGTTTATTTAAACAATGCTTCCATGTTTCACAACATCGTGATGTTAATCATGACTACATTGTATTTTATCCTGCATGTATACAGATAAATAAAATTGAAATATCTGTTTGTAATATTAAAGTAACCGATTTTTACTACAAGCATATGAATGTACATACGATACACACCAAAATAATTTAAAAAAAACCATTTTTTGTCTGTATGTCTTTTTGTACTGGCTAATGGCTGGACCGACGAACTTGAGGGGACTTTTATTGCCAGGTAGCTGATGTACACACGGCCACACATCAATCTATACAAAACCAATTTATCCTGGTGTCACGTCGCATCATCTTTCCGCACATTTAACGTTCAGTTTATACTGGTTAAGTACAGCTCGATTGTGTAGCCGTGTGTACCAAGGAGTAACATAGGATAGGTTCTTTTATTTTGGAAAATTGAAACAAAAAAGTTATGTCCTAAAATTCATATTCTAGAGGTACTAGGGCGAAGTTGCGGGCTAGTAGTTAAATAAAAATCAGTCTCCAAATGTTTAACGAATCTGATTTTGATCCACCGCATATTTTTTGTCGTGGTGGTCACTCATTTTTGTCTTGACACGACTTGTACCTATGTACGAAAAAACCTTAACTAAGGCACTTAATGCCACTGTACAATGTAACACTCACTTTTCACTATTTATGTTATGAGTTCCATGTAATAGGTGGTGAGCCTATTGCCATATACCGGGCACATTTCCAGACTCAGTGCTACTATTGAAATTTTGAAAATCCCAGCATTACTTTGCCCAAACGGCCAACGAGGTAGTCATCCTGATCTATCATTTAACTAAAAATTCCGCAAAAACGTTTATATTTTGAACTACTGTTTGTTAGTGACAGTGGCTTGACACAG